CGATCCCAGGACCCTGGGATCATGACCTGAGCCGAAGGCAGACGCTTAACGACTGAGCCACCCAGGCGCCCCTAGATTATCTTTTTGTTACTGATTTACGTATTACCTGCACACAGTCAAAGAACATAGTCATTACGATTTTAAATACTTTGACATCTGCAACTTACTTTTAGCTCAGTACGTGGTCAATTTTTGTAAATGTTATGTGTGTTTAAAAAGGTGTATTCAGCACCTGTTGGATGCAGTGTTCTTTGTATGTCCATTAGGTCAAGTTCATTAATTACATTGTAATTTTCTACAGTCTTCCTAATTTTGTTTGTCTGCTTATTCCATCAATTACTGAGAGATATTTGTTAAATTCTCCCACCATCATTGTGAATATTTTGACTTCTCATTGTACTTGTTATTTTTTATTTTACATATTATGAAGCCATATTATTAATTGCATACACACATAAAATTGTTACATCTTATTTTTTAGTTTCTACTTCATGTAATATTTATCTAAAACAACTTTTCTCTGGTTGGTGTTTGCGTTATATATTTATTTTTCTCCTTTTACTTACAAACTTTCTGTATCCTTATGCTGTGATCTGTCTCTTATAAAACATAAAGTTAAAAACAAATCCTACTTGACAATTTGTCTTTTAAACATTAACATTTGGGGCACCTGGGTGGCTCAGTTGGTTAAGCAACTGCCTTCGGCTCAGGTCATAATCCTGGAGTCCCAGGATCGAGTCCCGCATTGGGCTCCCTGCTCAGCAGGGAGTCTGCTTCTCCCTCTGACCCTCCCCCCTCTCATGTGCTTTCTCGCTCTCTCAAATAAATAAATAAAATCTTAAACATTAACACTTAATAAAATTTCTGAAATATTTATCATGATAATTTATTCTATTTGTCTTATTGTTATATGTACCTTCCTTCCTTTCTTGCCTTCTTGTGGGTTATTTTTTATCATTCCATTTTTTTCTATAATTTAAAAGTTAAATACTTTAAAAAACCCTCTTTTCTTGAAGGTTACTCTAGATCACAACATGTATCTCTTACTTACCAAAATATAATAGTTTTTTTTTTCCAATTTTTTTTAAGTTTATTTATTTACTTAAGTAATCGCCACACCCAACCTGCGGCTTTAACTTATAACCCCAAGATAAAGAGTCACATGCTCTTCCAACTGAGCCAGTGAGACACGCCCCCCCACCCAGTATAATGCTAACAGTTACTTTCCCCTTCTTCCCAGATAATGCAGCCCTCACATACTTTATCTCTATCCCACTGCCAATTATTATTGTCTTATGTTTTAATTGTCTTTTAAACCTAATAAAACATTATTATTGTTGTGTAATACAGTTTACATTCATTTGATTTACCCACATATTTTCTACTATTTTTACTTTTTATTTCTTCTTGAATCTCCAAGCTTCCATCTGGTATTTTCCTTCTGCTTGAATAATATTTTTTAAAATTTCACTTAGGGGGCGCCTGGGTGGCTCAGTCAGTTAAGCATCTGCCTTCGGCTCAGGTCATGATCCCAGGGTCCTGGGATCGAGCTCCACATCAGGCTCCCTGCTCAGTGGGGAGCCTGCATCTCCCTCTCCCTCTGCCTGCCACTCCCCCTACTTGTGTGCTTTCTCTCTCTGTCAAATAAATAAATAAAATCTTTAAAATAAAATAAAATATCACTTAGTGGGTCTTTTGGTAATTCCCTAAGTATATTTTTTAAGGGAGGGGTATCTGAAAAATGCTTATTTTCTCTTCACTCTTGAAAGGCATTCCTGCTGGGATTAATTAATCTCTTTTTTTCTGGTTGTTTTAAGATTTTTTTCTTTGTCATCTGAAGTACTTTTACTATGATGTACTCAGGTGTTATTTTCTTTGTATTCATTCTGCGTTGGTTTACAGAGCTTCTTCAATCTGTGGCTTAATGTCTTGTCAACCTTAGAAAATTTTTATCCATTATCTCCTCAAATAATGATTCTACCTATTCTATCTCTTCTCTGGGACTCCACACATACAGATGATAAGCCTACTCACTGTATCCTCTGTCTCCTAGGCCTTTTTTGGTATTTTATTTTTTCTTTTCATGATTCATTCTAGATTGTTTTTTCTGACCTATTGTCTGGTTCATTTATTCTTTGTTTAGCTTTACTGAATCTGTTAATTCATCTTTCACAATTTAAAAATTTATTTTACTTTTCATTCCTAGCATCTTCTTTCAATGCTTTATCAACTCTGCTTTTATAATTCACAATTTTCTGCCAAAATTTTCAACCTAGTTTTTTATGTTCTTGAACACAGTAAGCATTGTTTTGGTTTGGTTTGGTGTTTAGCACAGCTATTTTATTTTATTTTTTTTTTTTTTAAAGATTTTATTTATTTATTTGACAGAGAGAGAGA